CAAATCTGTTTCAGATCCCCAACCGCACCCAGTTCAAGCACGTCGTCTTCGGACCCCAGGCCTGGTCCCATACGAAACAGGTCACGTTCCCAGCGATCCGCGACGCCATTGAGGACGCGAATTGGGAGTTGGCGCGCAAGCTCGTCGAGAAGACGTCAGTCCTGATCCGCAACGCCGCGAAGGTGCTGCTCGATCAGCAAACCGACGAGGTGCCAGGGCGGTGATGGGGGATTAGGAGGATTACGGGAACGACGCCACGCTGACACATTACACACACTACACACTTACTATTACTGACATACCTGTCGCATTTCCTTATCTAACGTTGTTTTCTGCCGCGCCGCCTTCAGAGGTGGGCAGGAAGACGTTTTTCCCTGTTGAAGATTTCCCTCCCTTTTTTACTTTCCCATTTCTCTTTTTTTTTTTACATCCGTCTCGGCTCTGGCTCCCTTGGCTGGGCTGTCCGGGTGGCATTGCATGGAGTTATGTCTGGGCGGGAGAACCGATTCGTTATTTGTACGTTGGAGACGGCTGTGAATGTTTCGATAGGTCAGACGTATATACTTCGCATTGGGGCGTTGGCCTGTTCCGTTCATCGTCATGTTAGCTCTGGCGTGAGTGATTGCCCATGACACTGGGTGAATAGTCAAAGCAACGTTCGTCTCAATGGCACTACGGCCCCATTACACCAAGAGAGCCAATGGACGCGAAATGATGGATTGATAGCATCGCTTAAAACGGGAAAAAGAACCGGTATACATATATACATGGGTAGTCAGGCACGGCATGCAAGCCTCAGCAAGCACGGACAATGCATGTTCTGCATCTTTTCTCAACAGGGGAGGGCGAGAAGATGAAAAAAAAGGTATCAACACGATCGGACGCGACCGGCCTCTCTCCTTCCCTCCTCTCCCTCATTACCGAGCCACAGAGGCGACGTCTCCAGTCGTAGCCGCACTATGGCGCCCTAGAGCCTCCAGACTCAGACATCGGCTCATTTCGGGTACAATACGACACCCTCGTACTGCCTACTCCGAATGTTTTCGAGCGTCGAGTAAAAGTGGCGCTTGCTGTTGTCGATCGACGCCGAATCCTGCTGGTTGCCGGCGAGGTTGGAGTGGATGAGCTCAATGAGGCCGTTGAGGTATTTGGTCGTGACCTGGGTTGATCAGCATGGAGTACGTATCACTGGAGGTGGGGAGAGACGTACGGCCTCGTTTTGCTGGTCAAAGTAGTAGACATAGCGGTCAAGAATTTCAACAAAAAGCTCAATAGAGGCGGCCGTCTCCATGCAGGAGTCGGCCACGCGGAGGGCGCGTTGGAGGCACTCGAGCACGCGCTTGCCGTCGCGGTAAAGCTAAATTACGTCAGTGCCATGACACGGAACAACATGAAAAACACAAGACTTACGTCCGTCTCGTCCGTCTCGCCATTGGCCTGGCTGGGCATGGCCCACCAGAGGTGGCTTGCCAGATAGACGGCACGGCACTGGTCGGGCTTCCTCAACAGCTTGCTGCCGTGCTGCGCACACTTGGTGATGAGAGTATCGTAGTTCTCCTTGCCAAAGTTCCTGGTCTGGTGAAGCGAGCTGGCAATGATGCAGACGGCCTGGAACTGGGCTTTGGAATCAGAAACAGCCTCCTCGTAGACGGTGAAGGCTTGTGCGAAGAACTCGTAGGACACCTCTTCGAACCCAGCTTGGTCAGCCGTCATGCCAGAAGAGCAGAAGAGGCGCAGGGCGAGCTCTGCCGCTCCCGGGCCGCTGACACGCGTGTAGAGAGTGCTCAGTGCGGAATGCATGAACTTGAACAAGGCATTGCTCTGCGTCTCCCAGTTGTCGTCGAGGTGTTCCCTCGCCTTCAACCTGCGAGCAAGCTTCATACACGCTGTGATAAGAGGAGGAGTTGTGGTACGGATACGCTCGTTGCCCTCGGAGTAGGCCTTCCGTGTCGCCTGGAGGAGCTTAAACTGTGTGTCGTTGCTCTCGGCGTTGATGAGATGCACGAGGCGCGCGAGCCAGCCTTGCTCCTCGAGAGTCTCGTCCGTCTCCATAGCACGACGCTGCTGAACGCCGGGGTAATTGGACGGCGGCTGAGAGCCCTCCTTGATGAGGACCTTGAGGATCTCTAAGACGTTATCCAGCTGGGACGAGGTTGATATCCTGGTCTGGTTGCGGAGCAGGTTGCGCGCTACCTCGCCAGCAACAGCGCGTCGGGTCTGGTAGGACTGCGCCTGGAAAAGGGGGACGTATGTGGGGAGTGATAGAGCGGTGAAGATGGAGACGTAGCGGTTGATGGGTGCCTGGAGAAGGGCGAGAAGCTCTGCTGGGCGGGAGGAGAGTGGAGATCAGCGTTGTTGGCGTTGTCGCGCACTTTGCTGAGGGCGTATTCGAGTATCTGGTTGACAAAATCGAGGCGCTCGGGGTAGATGTTCAAGGCCAGGTTCGTCAGCGAGTGCAGCAACGCGATTGTGTCGGGAATGGGGAGGTGTTGCGCCTCGACCAGGTTCTTCACCTGGCTGAAGAACACCTCGTAAAGCTGCACATTGTCGGGAATGCCCTTCTCCGTCGGCGTCTTGGTTGCGTCCGGAGCTTCGGAAGACTCAGCGGCGGTTTCGGAGCCATTGACGGCCGTTGTATCGGTCTCTGCAACAGACGGCGTCGTCTCGTCATCGGCGGCATCGCTAGCTTTCGAGGCATCCGCTTCTCCGTCGGCGTCGTCGGCCCCCGAAGATTCGTTGCCATTTGTGTCGGACGGCTTGCTGGTGTCGGCATCCGCATCTGTTGGTGCCGCCGACTCTGGCGCCTCGCTCTGCAGCTTCACCTTGTCTAGCAGCTTCGCCAATGCCTCCTCCTCCACCTTTGCCTTGTCATCGTCGCCCTCGGCGGGGCCTTCGCGCTCGGCGTAGTCTGAAAGTCTGTCCATCAAGCCAATGACAATCGCCTTGACATTGACATGGGGGTTGAGGCGCGAGACGGCGCCAAGGAACTGGTCGAGGGTGTGGAGGTGGAACTCGTCGGGGAAGACCTGGGTGACGACCTCGAGGAGGTACTCTTGCGCCAGGACATCGCGGCACTGCACAACCTGCTCGAGCAGCGGCGCCAGGATGCCCGACTTGTACGTCTCGAGGTCGACGAGCTGGCTCAGGCGCACAATGTTGCTGCCGACGAGCAGCTGCAGCTCCTTGCGCTCCCTCGTCCTCTGTTCCCTCTCGCGCGAGTGGCCCTGGTGCTGGAGGCGCACCCACAGCTTGTTCATCTCGACAAAGTTGGTGAGGACAAAGTTGATCGAGTCGGAGAGGTTGCCTTCGGGGCCGTCGCCGTCGCCGGTGGGCAGGAAGTCGCGGGCCTGGCCGGAGAGGAAGTATCGCAGGAAAAGACCGCGGATGGGATGCTGAACCCCGCGGCTCATGTCCATCATGTCCTTCATCAGCTCCTTGACCGGCGCGTCTTCAATCGACATGTAGGCTGTGCCGACGGTCATCATGAGGTAGAGACGAGGCACAATGTTTCCGGCGTACTGGACGAGCTCGTACAGGTCGGCCAGGTGGTTGACGGGGTGGTTCTCTCGCAGGTGGACGGACAAGTACCGCAGCGCGTCGAAGACGGCCATGTAGAGCTCGTAATATTGCTTGGGGCCGAGGCTGCTCGTTCGGAGCTCGGAGACGAGGGTAGAGCTGCACGGGAGAAAAGCGAAAGCGTTAGCAAGACGGCACATGGTGTTGTTCCCAAGCCACGAGAGCTCATCTCCCAAGATGCTACGCTTGCGAAGGGCTGGATATGACGTACCAGCACTTGAGTGCGTCCATGAGCTTGCCGGGCGAATCCAGGCATTTCCGCATAACCGCCGTTTGCTGGCGCACAGCAACTAGAGCATCCTCCAGCAGGCGTGCCTGGTCCTCAGGCGGCGCGGGCGTCGCAGACATGGTGAAGTCGGGGGATCGAACCAGTGGGGCAAGTGGCAGGCTGTCGTGTTCAACTCAATCGCATGGGCAGGGTTGTCTCGGAGGCTTTGGTGACAGCAACTGAAATCACCACGAGACGTCGTCAGGGAGGAGATGTCGTCGACAGCGCAACGATATCAATGGGATGGTGGTGACGTGGCGGAGCTCGTGGGAGACGTCGGCGGGCAAGACGGAGCAAGTTGGCTGGCGGGCTACAAGGTGCAGCCAGCAGCAGCAAGCTTGCTTGCCTGGGCAGGCCGTTCGAGGCGGCATAATCGGTGGAGGCTGCCTGTCGTCACGTGACTGATAAGGCGTGACGATGACAAAGGCGACCCGTTTCAATGATGCTCGCTTAGGAGACACAGTTCCTCGAGATGGGTACCTGGTCTATATACATACCTGCTGGATCCTGTTGGTCTTCGGAATGTGTGACATGCCTATGCGCCTTGATTGGTTCTCTGCGGCTTCCAAATTCCGACGCTCGTGATGTGTTCCGTCCAACTTCCGCTCCATCTCCAACACTGTTTCTCCCCTTCCCTGTCGATTGGTATTCCAGATTTGTGGCACAGCCCACTCCGTCATGGCGAATCTGACAAGATCTCACCAAGGCTGCTCGCCTACGCATTGGTCTTTGTATATCTCATGTCTTGCGTTACTTCTTCCTCAATGTTGCCCCCCTGCCCCCCTCCAAGATCCTTTTTTTCTGAGCAAGACAATCTTACCCAGTCGGGATCTTCTTACATGCAGCACAGGCCCCAGGCTGCCGCCGTGCGGCTGAGTCAGATTGGGGGAGGGGGGGGGGCCCTAGCCGAGCACCCTGAGGGAACCCCTCACAGAGTCTCTCCACCAGCCGTTGTGCTAAAGCGTTGCCGCAACATGTCTACGGAACACCTTCTTGTTCACCCGCGCGTCCAGTGTTCCGTCACCAGCCGACGCCTTGCCTGTCTCGGCTGGGTCCAGTGATACAGACCGGGATAGTGGGTTGGTGCTAGGGTCGTCTTGTCTTGTGTCTGAGGACCCTTGTGACTGGCGGCGTGTTCCTCAGAAGCATGCCAGCATGAAGTGATTAAGAGAGCTGCATCTCCTCCCCGGGAACTTACTTCACCTTATTTTCCATTCCGTTGTTTTTCTATTCAACGAACGGACACATGGTTCCTTTACCAAGTCCCTCCATGAGCTCCTCCCCCCATACGTTCATACGACCATAGAAGGCAGCTCGACACATCCACCATGAACCAGATATCCCCCCTCATGCGGATTCCCGCCGAGCTCCGCGTGCTCATCTACGAGTACCTCCTCGACGACGGCGGCAACACACAGATCGAGATTCGAAACAAGCCACGGCAGGGGTGCGAATGCACAGAACAACACGGTGGCCAGCGACGCTCGCGCTACCGCGTCATCGAGAAGAACTTCGACCAAGACTGCTACGAGACGACCTACGTCCTCGCCTCCAAGCCGTCCCTGCACGTCGGCATCATGGCGACGAACCGGCACATATACGCCGAGACGTCGCACATGCTCTACGGCCACCACACGTTCAGCTTTGGCAGCGACGTCGAGGCCGTGGCGCCCTTTGTGCGCGACCTCTCGCCGCACGCGCGCAGCCTCGTCGGCGGCGTCGCGCTGCGCAAGAGCAACGCCCTCTTCACGTCCGAGTCGGACCGCCTCGACTGGGCCTTCATGTGCCAGACGCTGCGGGACCTGCTGCCGTCGCTGCGCCGCCTGCGCCTCGCCGTCGAGGGCGGGCGTCCCTCGAAGCCCGGCGCCAGCGGCGGCGGGCTGCTCAGGGCGCTCGAGGCGTCGGACCTGCGCCTGCTGGGCCACATCCAGCACGACAGCGTCCAGTGGATCGCTGCGCTCGCGGGGCTCGCCAAGGGGGCCCGCCTCGAGGTCGTCGAGGTCGTGCCGGAGCTGAAGTACATGCCGGCGCCGCAGACAACGGCCGCCATCTTGTATGCTTCGTTCTCAGCCGCCATTGGCACGGCGTTTGTCGAGCATCTACGTGAGGACTGCGGGCTCCCAGCCGTGGCGTGGCCTCAGCCGTAGCGGTCTTGGGCTGTCTCGTCTAGTTTGGCAGGAGGGAATGGGGGTGGGAGCGCAGTGGGCAGTGGCATGATTGGTCTGGTGCTGGTGATGAGAATGGCTGAAGGGCTGGGAGTTTCCCACCAGTGGTCGTGATGTGGATGATATAGCTTGTGTTTGTGCGGCTGATTTCTGGGTATGGGCGTTTCCTCGGCATATTCCGTTGCATTTTGGGTGATGGTTAGCATGGCGTTTCCCGATGGACATTGGCTGATGGTCTGGTACGAGGCCTATCTTTTTTTCTCTGATTGGCAAAATCGACGGTTCTTTTTCGTACATTCCGAACTAAGTGCAGTGCAGTGTTGAAGTCTGTCGGAGGTCACACGACATGTTGACGATGATGCCTCAGTCTAGACGCTACCTAGGTGGGTACTCGAGGTGCGGAGGTTAAGGTACCTAGGTACCCAGTAAGTACCTAGTCGACAAAAAAGAATGTCCCACCAAATGAGAGAAGTACCAAATCACCAGTAGATCAGCGCTGATTCATGCCTCGCTGTCGCGTACTAACATGCAATGGGGCATCTCTTCTGTCAAGTGCTTGCCAAGTAGACAAGGCCAAACTACGAGGTCCAGAGCATTCGCAGAAGACCAGCCTTGATGCGGTTGCGGAGGCAGCGGAGCTTCTAGCGATGACAGGGCTGAGCTTTCAGGGGTCGCCTCCCTAATGGCCCACGGGACGGGGAAGCTCTGCCTGCGCTAGGCCCGCCTCGTGCTAGGCGTATTTGGGCCGTCTATTTTTGCTGTCGGAACTCCGCTATACGAGGCGAGTCAGAATCACGAAGAGACCACGCAGGCGAAACTGCTGCCAGGCACCATGATCGAAAGCAGCAGATACAAAATCGTTCCACGAGGCTCCTCGAGAGAATCTTGCGGCCTTGAGGGAGTCTGAATTCTCTCACACACGACACGCAAACACGGCAAGTTCGCAATGGCCGACCAGGCAGCCACCCGCAGAGGTCGAGATGCCCTCAAGCAAGGACTGCTCGTCGTGGCCTATCTTCTTGGCATCGTCGCAACCGCCATTCCCGCGCTCCTGATCTTTGCAGGATCGTGGCTTTTCAATGACGAGAAAGACGCATCAGGGCCCATCCGTCTAGCTCTCTCCAAGCTTTCCATCGCATCAGTATGTGGACTCCCGCACCAGTCATCAATCTCGTCACCGCTAATCAAGACTCACGCCAGTTCGACGGCATCATCCCCGATCCGAATAACAAAGGGACTTACCTCCTGACGATGCACCTCTTCCCCCGCGCCTTGGGCTGGGAGTACCCTTCCGCCCCGTCCCGCGACCAAACCGCTGGCATCGTGAACCCGACGCGAGGCACTCTCTACCTGCCTACCGACTTCGTCACCATCGGCAAGGCCCTCGACCTCGACCCCTCCGCCTGGGGCTGCTTCCCGCCCGTCTGGAACGACCCCTGCGAGAACCCCTTCTTCGCCGCCTTTCGCCGTCAGTTCCCCTACGAAGGCACCCCCGACGCCTGGACCGTCTTCCTGCTGAGCGCCCTCGTGGCCTGCGCCGCCGCCATCGCCGCCATCGAGCTCGCCATCGCCTTCCGCCCGAGCCTCCTGCGCTGCCAGTGCTACTTCATCGCCCTGAAGAGGGTCTGCCCGTGCCCGCGCGGCACGCGCCACGAGATTGAGAGGCTCAACGGCGCCTTCTGGGACCGCTACCGTCTGTGGATGTGGCCCGTCGTGCCTGTCATGACAGCGCTCACGTGTCTGAATCTTGCCATGCGCGGCTGGATGCTCCTGGCCTGGCTGGACCGGTGGACGGCGCAGGACGACGACGTGGGTGATGTGCGGCCGCGGTTTGGTGCCGCGTTTGTTGCCCTGTCGTGGACTGCGACGGCGGCTGGGTTGGGTGCCGTGCTGTGCGTCCTCGCGAGGCTGTTGCTTGCGCAGCGCACGAGCTGGATAGACCAGCAAGGCGCTGCCCCTGGCCTGGAGGACGCCGAGGCCGAGGCCCATGAGCAGCGCCATGTCGGATTGGAAGAACCGGCGGCGAGGACTAGGCTTCCCGACGCACAGCTGAAGGGGTACTCGGATGCCGATCCGGATGCACCTCTCCAGGGTTGTGCCGCTGAGGCTGAACCGTCGAAAGGTCCACCGAGGAATGCATGAGCGACCTCGACCCAGTCGTGTGCACGATTGAATGGACAATTGGGCTGGATCGATCGGTCTCGGCCACGCTTCGCAGACTGGAGCGATTGTTCCGTGTTGTACCAAGGGGTGTCAATCGCTCAATGTGCCTGACATCATGATGACTTGAACTAGCGGTCATCGATTTCATCGGCTGGAGCTCGCTCCAGATGGCAGTCAATGATGCCATCATTCGTCGCCGAGCATCCAATGGCTTGACAAAACAACCAGGGACGCAGCTTTTCTTTTTGAAGGCTTTCACAAATCGGTCTCGTTTCTCACCTTCCACTACTCATCGCCTCAATTGACTGTCAGCTCAATTGATTATCCGAGCGGCTACGAAACACATCACGCCAGCAGCGCGAATACCTGCGCCTCTACATTACTCCAACCAGCACATCTCAGAAATATGTCTGGTGGCTCAAAATACACAGTTCCTGCCGTAGTGGGCGTAACCCTCCTCGGCAGCGGCGTCTACATGATGCGCGGCCGACCGTCGGCCACAGAAGCCCCAGCCCAAAACACGGCGACCTCGGCGCCGCGCCCGGATGCCGACGAAGTCGAGCGCAAGAAGCAGCAGGCCCAGTCCAAGCGTGACAATGGCATCAGCGGCGCCGGTGTCGGCATGACCTCCAACACGGGCGGCGCCGAGCTCTCCACCGGTAGCAAGGCCGGCAATCGAACGGGTCCCCAGCACGGCGGCCAGAAGATCAGCGGCGACGTCGACAGGAAGGATCTGCCGTCAGGCGGTGTTGGTGGCGGGCACGGCGGCGGCAACGACAATACGAGGACGTCGGTCGAGATTGGCAAGGGTGGTACCCCGGGCAGCAAGAGCTTCTTTTCGGGATGGTTTGGCGGTGGCGGCGGATCGAGCGACACGTCGTCTGGCGCTAACTCGGGAGGATCGTCGAGCGGTGCCTCTGGGACAGGCCAGAGCAGCTCGGGCAAGGGTGCCGGGCAGAACAGCAGCGGATCCGGGACTAGCTTGTCGCAGAAAGCTGCAGGGCGCGGCTGGCACAGGCGGCTCGACGGCTGGTGGGCAGCAATATGATGTTGACCCCAAGGATACCCGGATCAAGAGCCACCACGCCGACACACCGTCGAATCGTGGCGGCAGCCCTTTCGACAAGCACCGTAGGGACGTGACGGCCGTTTCGGAGACGAGCTCGAAACCTGGCAAGGAGTAGTTTGCCTTAGGGACAGTCTTGTGACCCATGTATTTCTCCCAGTATACTTGTACGGCAATACGCATAGCATCAATTTGGCTTTGTTGTGATTCTCATCTTCATGACGTACTCGCTTGTCACTCTTGCACTGACTTCAAGGCCGAACTTATGCGGCGTCCAGCGTCCAAGCAACAGTCCAGGGAAAGATGGTCGCTTTCATTCTTCATTCTTTTCTATCGTTTGCTTACTGTCGTCGCTCACCCTCTCCTGCTCAACCTTAGCCTGCGCCTCGTAGTCCTTCCACCGATACTCCTTCTCGATACCCAGTCTCCGTTGCGCCGTGTCGCACAGCTTCTCGTTTCCACACTCACAAACAGCCCCATGCCTCAACCAACGGTACGTAAGACTCCAACGTCCCTCCCTCGGCCTGGCTCCGCCGTCCGGCAGCGGATCCGTCTTCCGTGACCGAATGCCATGCGTCCAGTGCAGCCGCGCATCGCCGCGCATCTCCATCATGCTCCGCGGCAGCAGGTCGACGTCCGTCCTCTCCCCCGTCGCCCCGTCTCGGAACTGCATCGACACGGGTGCCCCCAGCGAGAGCGCGTACAGCTGGTCGAAGGCGCTGTGCGTGTCGACGTGCGGCGGGATGCCCGTGCCGGGCGCGTAGTACTGCAGGCACACCTGGTCCGGCGCGCGGGCCTCCGTGCGCGGCAGCAGCGGCGGCAGCCAGTCGGGGAACGGGATGTAGGCCGTCGCCTCGTCGATGCCGAACGTCTTGTAGGAAAATGTGTGCCCGTAGTGCAGGGCGAGGCGGCCCTTGCGGTCGGGCCACGTGAGCTGCGTCTGGAAGATGGAGAGCAGGGCGGCTTCGTGCTCGGGTGTGATGAAGTTTTGCTGCATGAATATGCCGGAGGGCTGTATGGGGAGTTCCTCCATCGTGTCTTGCCGGCTCGACTGATACTGATCTGGGGAGGACGTTTTTGTGACCCCTGCTCTTCAAGGTTGATGTTACTAGACGCTCATTGTCAAAGTTGGTGCAATGTGTGGAGACTGGGAATGGAGTCAAAATCGAACGATGGAGAGAATTATCTAGACGGTTGAAGCGGTCACGTGACAGCGCATACTATCAGAAAAAGGTGGCCTGTCCGATGAAGAATGTCCTAAGTTATTCCTGCTGATGAATATGTAATGAAAAGCATTCATCCCCTCGTACGTAGTGTTTCAATGGTCGACCTGAGGTTTCATGGTGCTGTTGCACCCTTCCGTAATCGAACCTCAAGCCCGGCCCAGGAGTACTTCAGCACTCACAGGAGTGAGATGCCTTGCTTATTCGAAATTGGAGATCCAAAAAAAAAAAGAAAAAAAAAGGAATTCACGAATATAGCAATTGACCGCCAGCTGGACCCTGCGACATGGTCAAATCCAGACGACGAGGCAGGACTCGCTGATGAATCGTCTTAACACTGTTGCGCTTTCGGGATCCATGAGCATGGACAGACGGGGACATCAATCTAAGTCTACAGATGGGCAGACGACGGAGGATTCCTTTCCTCAAACCACTGAACCTGTCGTCTGGGCCAGTCAATAATGTCCTCCATCTCCTCATTGCCGGCAACCTGCTGGTCGATCAATTCGAACAAGTCATGCGACCACCCCTTCATAAACCAGAACCTTGGCTCCATCATTTTCCAAAACACGGAGAAATACGCAAGAAGAGCCAAGGCGTTCGGGTCGAAACTTTGTATGTCCCCAAGGACCGTCTCGGGGACAACGTAGGCAAACATGATGAGCATACCGAATTCAGGGTCGGGACCAGCATTCTTCACGAAAACCACAAGCCTCTGGAGAGCCTGCATGGCCAAAGTGTACGCCTCCCGAGACTCCGGCAGAACATGCTGCTCCAGGAACTCGGACAGCTTGTCCAGCGCCCGAAAGACGTCTTCTGGGACCAGGGATCCTTCCGCCGGCTCTTCCCTGTCGCCGAGCTGTCAGCGCACTTCCCTGGTTCATCGCGCCACCGGGTGTTCTAACTCACCATATGACCTCGCTCTCATCGCCGGGTCTCCATATGCTATGAAAAAGAGGGGCAAGATACGAATTTTTCAGAGTCGACTGGTAGCGCTCAAGAACGACTCGATGGCCGCGCACGAAGGCGAACACTTCGAAGATGTTGACGGCTTCTGACGACCCGGTCATCAGCCCCGCGACGGTATGCGACGGTCGGAAGCACACATAGATCAGGACACAAGACGAGAAGCACATGAGCGGCTTCCAGTTCCCGGCATTGATGTTCGCGATGCCAGCCATGAACGTCGCCATGCCGAGACCCTGGTGGTAGGCCGCGAGGTCGAGGTACTGTTCCCGCCGCTCCGGAGACCCACTCGACAGGGCTGCCTTGTGAAGCGCGGCCAAGGACAGCAGGCCGTGCATGACGAAGGGGTGGTCGTATCCGATCTGCGGGAACCGGCAGCGCCAGATGTGGCGCACATCCAAGCGAAAGCTCAGCGTGTGGGCCGTGCTGATGGTGAAGTGGTGCATGAGCTCCAGGCCCGAGAGCGCCCACATGTCGTCGCTCGACGCCGGCAGCGGCGTCGGCATGAAGAGCGGCGCCGAAGGAGGGTCGTGGAGACTCACCGGCGTGCAGTACTCCGGGTCGGGAAGCGAATGGTTCAGCCTCGGGTCCACCGGCAACGCGAGCTCGGGGGTCGTCCAGGTCTTGTCGTCGACGAAAGAGCAGCGCACGCCATGGCGATGACAATTCCTACAGAAGGGCCGAGATTCGTCGCACTGCAAAAGCCATCAGATGTGGCAGCGGCACGATGGAAGCTGACGAGATGTTACCTTGACTTTTCTTCTTTTGCAATTGGCGCAGCCGAAGCGAGACTTGGTATGAGGTCGACGCAATGGCATGGTGCGGGTTCGGACGCCAAATACGAGAGGTCGGGTTCGGACTTGAATCTGAATCACTGGGATCGCAAAACGAATCTTGAGAGAGATGGATAAGTAGGCGGGAATCGCCAGAAGAGTCTGCAGAGCACGACACCTTCGGACCTTCTGACAAAACTCTTCTTATCCTCATTCACACCGAGAACGTCCGCCGCTGCTGGCTAATGCGACTCGCGGCTTTGAGGCGGAGGCCGATCGTACCTGGTAAACGAGGTGCGAATCCGAACCCGCGCGTACCAAAGACAGCATTGGTGTTGGTGCTGAGCGGGTCGATCGACTCGGTGGAGCTTTGCGTCGGTCGTATTATTCGGGTTCTCGTGTGTATACGAGCCAGTGAACCCTTTCCGGGCAGTGCCACGATCCCGATAGAGAAGATGAATAAAAGTCGAAACACACCCCGCAAACCTGTCAATGCCGTTCCTTTTCTACATCTATGCAGGGCTTCGAGATTCTTCTAGCATTCGAATTCTACGAGCGGTGGAGCCAGGCTCAGAAATGGAAGCTAAACACGTTTGGTCTACTGAAGGTCCGTCATCAACAATAACCCTTCCATGGGTCCCAGTTGTTGGGGTCATAGCGGGTACGGTAAGTCAACTGATGCTTCAGCTGCCATTGGCGAGGGACTCATACCCCGCATAGGTTCTTCTTTATGTTATCTTCACCGGAGTTTACAACATCTGGTTTCATCCGCTTCGGGCATACCCTGGCCCCTGGTGGCTTGTCGCCAACCGACTGCCGTACACCTTGTCCGTCTTGCGGGGCACCGCAACTCGGCGGGCAAAGGCTCTGCATGAGCAGTACGGCCATGTTGTCCGTATCAATCCCGACACCCTGTCGTTCACTTCTGGGGCTGCATGGCGTGGTGCGTGGCATCCCTCGCACGCTTGAGACCCTAACCCAATCGACGTAGTCGTTAACACAGCTCGTTAGATATCTACGGCTCTCAGTCAAGATGCAACCCGGGCATACCGAAAGATCCCTACTTTTACATGCAACATCCAGGCCCAGCAAACATTGTTCGTTGGTCCTTCTTACATACCAGTATCTTCCTAACCTCCTGACAGTCAACCCTCAACGACGAGGACCATCATCGTCTCCGGCGTGTCCAGCTCAATGCCTTGTCTCCGAAGGCGTTGGCGTCTCATGAGGTGCACGTCCGGCATCATGCTTCAGACTTGGTCTCTCAGCTCAGGTCCAGCGCTGATGCGAAGACAGTCGTCGACATCTTTCTGCGACTTGAGCTTCTCGTAACAGACATCATCAGCAAACTTGTACTAGGCGAGTCGTTTTTCCTGCTCGAGAAGGACGACCCTCAGCCTGGGCATTTTGGTGTCTTCTCGGTCCTGAAGAATCACACGTACGCACGCGAAATGATGCACTGGCCTAGTATTTTCAGACGGGCCGTTGTCAGATTCATGACCAAGAAACCAGTGACACCAAATCATACAATGTGGATGACTGGGAAAGCGACACAGAAGCGGTTTCAATGCGCCGGTGACGAGTATGATTACATCTCGTGCATGCAAAGGGGCAGCTCCAAGCTAAGGTTCGTTGTGGCCATCGGATTGTGAATACCCTCTTCTCCGGTGTGCACTCACTGATCGATCGCCAGAATGTCGGAGGACGAAATACGAGGCTCGACCACAGCATTCATTATTGCTGGCAGCGAAACAAGTATGAAAATGCCCCTGCTCCTTTCAATTTCTCATTAGTCGCGTGGAGTCATTCTCTGACTCGTGACTGCAGCTGCGACGGCCATAGCTGCAACCATGTACCTGCTATGCAAGAACCCACGGGTATACAGTGCCCTCACCCACTCGATACGCTCTGACTTTCCTCTGGAATCAGACATGACCATGGCCAGACTTGCCCAGCATGAGCAGCTGAACAATGTCCTGCAAGAGGCACTCCGCTTGTATCCCCCCGCGCCGGACAATCTCTTCCGACGAACCGCCGACAACGCCAGTCTGGTGATGGGAAAGATTTTGCCACCAGACACGAGCGTCACGATGAACGTATGGGCTGCCCATACTTCCGCTCTCAATTTCCATCGCCCGGATGAAATGCTGCCCGACAGATGGTCGAGTCCGCGCCCAAAGGAGTTCGAAGGTGATGATAGGGGGGTTTTCAACCCTTTTGGAGTTGGCCCCAAAGACTGTTTGGGCAAAGGGTGAGTGAGATTGATGGCCCGCCGATTGGCGCGACCAAGAATGGCGACGTTGACACTCCTGCAGACTGGCGTGGATGGAAATGCGCATCGTAGTGGCCTACCTTGTGTGGCACTTTCAATTTGAACTCACGCCCGAAAGCGAAGCTTGGATGGATGGTCAGAAGGTGTTCATGTTCTGGGAAAAGCCACCACTGAGGGTCAAAGTGATGACGAGGTAGGAAGAGGAGGACGTAGCTATACACACACCAAGAGGGAGAGAAGCTAGGCACTCAGTCCAAACAAGCTTCATTCCACGAGTCATTTGAGCACTGCATCTTCAGCTCTATGCAGTATTGGGGCCAGCATGCTTCGCTTGACCGTGACTGTGGCCTACCAGTACACGAAATAAGCCTCGTTGTCCATAACAAGTGTCGGAGCCATGTACCCCGCCGTGGTTTCATGCAAGGGGGTGGCTTGGCGATTCCGAGTCTTCATTGGTGGCAATTGGGAATAATGTCCTTCTCAACGACACCACAAGATATCGTCTAGCGAATGGCAAATCCCCGGTATTGCCACGCGGGGTACTGTGGTGTTGAAACATGGGGTGCAGCCTGCAATAACCAGTCTAGATGAAAAGCTGTGCCCGCCACATGGAGTTCTCGTGAGGTTACTGCCTATGGCTGTGATTAAAGGACCATCTTCAGACCATAATTTGACGTTGCCGCCAACAAGCCGATCGATCTGCATGGTCGTCTGCATATGTAGTGCTACCTTCCTCAGGGAGCCTCAATACATGGGTTATTTTCCACAAATCGGATCGTGACATTTGAAGCACCTTAACCCTGATAAACTTGTCCAGCCATCACTAGTAATCATTTCCCCCTCCAAAATTTAGCGGGTGATGGCCTTGTGTCCAGTACAGTAGAAACATGGCTTCAACCGGTGAATCGTACCAAACAGGTTCATAGTCTGTGCTGTTACAACATCATTTGGAGGCGAAACAAGGGTCAGCTAGACGCAGCCACGGCTCAGCCATTCCATCTTGTCGCGACAGGACTGGTGGAAATCTTAGCCAACTTGATTTTCCCTAATTGCGTCCATGTCGAAGCTGAGAATAGTCATGTTGTGCTTCCGAACTTCTCTTTACGACTGCGCCGGGCATCTGACTGTCTGAACAGCGCAAGTATATAGTTCGAACGTCTCCGTGCTGAATGTTAATGTTTCAAAGCTTTTTTTAACACCATCCTGCAGTGAAATCGAGGACAAAGCAATCTGTAGCCTCTGATACAACTCCGGCAAAATGCGCTCGACAATCATCTTGGCCCTCATCCCCGCGGCCCTTGGCTGCCTGAATGCCAACACAAACAGTTGCGCCAGTTTCATCAAGTCAAACGCCGCCACGGCTTCGGCCTTCTGTGCGACTTTCACGCAGAGCAAGGTCACGGCCACCTCGGCACTCCCGGCCTGGGCCACGCACTGCTCTCGGAAGCCTAGTCTTATCTCCGCCGAGTGCTCGTGCCACTACACGGCCGGCGGCGGCGGCGGCGGCCCGACCGCCACGGCCGTCCCGACCACCCCGACCACGACGCTGCGCACGAGCACCACGACCGCAGGTGGCGGTGGGGTTGTGACACCCCCCGCAGGAGTGGTCACGGCTTTGCCCCAGTCCTCTGGTGCTGTGTCATCCTCGGCAGCCATCACGGTAACTGCGTCTTTCGACGGCGGCATGAAGAACTACGACCGCTCGCGTGAGTGATGACCCTCGTGAGCTAGCAGATTGAGGGAATTTGGTCCGCTAATCATCGTGTGAAAAGCCCGAGTTTGTGCCGACCAGAGCGAGACGGGTGAGAAGGATGCCATGTTTGTGCTCGAGGCTGGTGCTACGCTCTCGAACGTGATCATCGGTCCCAACCAGGCCGAGGGTGTGCACTGCAAGGGCCCTTGGTAAGTGACTATCCCGCAACAATCCTCATCCGAAGTCTTCTTGGCTAACCTGCGCCCAGCACCTTGTGAGTCACCTGAGACTTGCCCCTGACAGCTTCCAGACTCTGTGATCTAACATGAGCAGGATCAACGTGTGGTGGCAGGATGTTTGCGAGGACGCCCTGTAAGCTGCCCGGCCCCCTTTTTTTCTCCCTCATCACCCCCTCCCATCCCCCCTTTTTTCTGCCGCGGTGGACATTGAGCTAATCTGAAATCTCTCGCAGGACGATCAAGCAGTCCAGCGGTACCTCATACGTAATTGGTGGCGGCGCCTTCAAGGCAGCCGATAAGATCTTCCAGTTCAACGGGTTCGGAACGCTCGACATCAAAAACTTCTACGCCAACGACTACGGAAAGGTCGTCCGAAGCTGTGGCAACTGCAGCAACAACGGTGGCGCTAGGCATGTGATCATGAACAACGTCATCGCCAAAGACGGCGGTGTCCTCTGCGGCATCAACACGAACTATGGTGACACTTGCACGATTAACAACAGTTGCCAAGACGGTAACAAGACGTGTGACAAGTACACCGGGAACAACTCGGGCAAGGAGCCCAGCAAGATCGGGTCCGGCCCCGACAGCACTTATTGCAAGGTCAACGCCTTCTCGACCACGTGCTAGGCCGAGTCCCCGAGGGGCCCAAGTCTGGAGTTGCCGGCATGGAATGTGGGAGGGCGAGCGGTGGTGTGGGCTGGGGCTGGAACGGTGGGTTGATGGAGAGAGTCCGCTTGTGGGCTTTCTCTAGTCACTCTTGGCGTGAATAGTCGCCGAGGGAGATGCCGATTGTTTTGCAAAAGGGGAACGTCAGGTTGCGGAGTTGAAGCTTAGCCCCCGACTTGCCATGTAACCTGCTTGGTAATTGCTCCACGTTAGATCGAGATTTGGGGTTGTGGGTGAGCAAGGAGCGGCATTGATGGTTGCCACTACCGAGTGCGAGACTTGAAATTGAAATGATGGAGAATGCATTAGCGCACATGTCACGTCGCCTTGCGCCGAGTCGTGTTTCTGTAGTCGGTCTTGGTTGAGTCGAGTTGCTTGAGTCGTGGCAACGTGTCAGATCACAATAGTGTCGTCTGACATTGCCCTCCCGCTCTAGTGAGCGCCGAGGATCGCAAGTTTGGCCTATCGTGGGCTAAATATTGAACCGAAGCTAGCACACCCATTCTCAAGTTCATTTTCACCGCAATTTGATGACCAGGTGTGAGTTGTCACATGTTCGGCCCCTGTACGGCGGGATCATCTCCCGGCTGCATTGGCTCACACTTTGAGAAGATTACTTACACACAATCTGTCCGACTGAAAAGCCCGGCTCAGCCCTGTTGCTGTCTGATCTATACCCCAAGGTGGGTAGCCTGGAAACTTGATGCGTGATCAGGTAACGTTGTAACATCGAAGAAGGGCCGCTTCACGCCCTCGTCGCAAGCCCCCTCCCCCCACGTCGCACATGGCGCAACGGTGGCCAAGGGGGTGGCTTGATGTGGGTGGCAAGGTGACGACAGCAAGGGGCACAATCCCATGCCTCGTGAACCAAACCCATATAGGCAAAAGGCGTGTATCTGCCGCGTGCTTCTGGGTATGTGCAGAGGTAGGCCGCGGCACGCTAGGTGCCTTTGTCAAGAGGGCTACCCCTAGACAAGTCTGCGGGCCACGGAACAGCGCTCATTGTATTCAGGTTTTGCTAGCCATATCCCCAGATTCTCGATCTTCCGAAGAGTCCAGTGCGCGGCCGGAAGCAGTTAGTAAATCGTGGTGTCGCAGAAAGGTGCCGTGCCACCGAGTGCCTCGTAAGGTGATGCGAAGCCTGGAAAATGAGCCTAACGGGCCCTAAGACCCCTAACTCACCCTCCTTACCCTACCTTCGGGCCAACGACGGGCGCTTTGCGACGCTACCAGACTCCCAGATTGTCGTGTGCATACCCGAAAGCCTGGTTTTGCGGTGCGGAACCAAGGCCGAACACCGAGATGAGAGATTCCTGGTGGCATCTCATTCCTCGACCATGTGGCCCCAGAGAGGGACATAAGGTTCGACGCTGCTTGCTGTAGCGCTGCCTAGTCCCATCAAACCTTTCCCACTGGAGAAATTGCCGAGGCAGGTCATGGCACTAACGGCCACACATAAGACAATGGCTTGGCACCTTGAAATGGCCCTATGATGGCAAAAGCACGGTAGCCTTTTGTACGAGGCGCCGTTGCGGTCTCGACTCTTCTCGTGATCGGCTGGGGGGGCACAACTCTTGAGGCTCGTGAGTGAGGCTAGCAAGCATCGACCGCCGGCCCTGGGTGCCCACTTCGGGAACGGGAATATGTGGCCTTCGGCCGGAGGCCCACATGGACGTTGTTGGGCAAGGAAGGGGCCGTTCTGCGAGCAAAGCGGATCTAGATCCGGTCAAGTAAGTGTAAATGGAACACTGGAACGGAACCCATCTCCAACCAGGGCTCCGGAAACATCCCACCCTCGTCTTCCCTCCACCATCCACGGTTCATTATCGCTGGCCCCTCCCCTGCTCTGATCTGCCCCCGAGAGTGGCCAGGATGATGAACGTAGCGCGGCAGATGGCGTATGAGGGTGCCAACTGGCGGCAAGACGATCGAGGATGGCGAGAAAAGAACGCACGTCTGTGGCAAGAACCGTAGAGAACAGGAGATCCCTCAGCTGGAAGAGACACACGAATCCTCTCCCGTGTCTCGGGTCTCAACGATGGGGTGCATTCCAGCTTCGGAGGCTTCACCGAAACTGGCCTCTCACCGAAAGGTTGGGTTTAGGCGTTGACAGGCTTAAAGTTCTCCCTGGGCAGAATTTCTGCGGTCTGATTACTAAAGACTATTCACGATTCAGGACATCCCATTGGGACGGCTTGTGCTGATTATCCAGTCGGCCAAGCCCAACGAGGCGTAGCGGACCCTGGATTTCTGCCCTCGCGAACACAATGCTCCCCCCCACTGTTTTCACTCCTTAAATCAAGGGTTCCTCACGCGTCTGGAGTTGATGAATGGAGAGAGGCCCGCCCCTGTCTGCGGTGTTGAACCAAAACGAGAAACGAGCCAGACCCGGATCGACGCTGACGCTGCTGGCATCTGTTCTTCTCTTTGCATGGTCTGCCGTCTCGCCTGTGGTCGTGACGTTTCCAACCCGTCATGTTTTCTTTCTGATACCTTAAAGTCGACAAGAACAACCGAAACGCTTCTTTACTTCCATTTGTTCGGCCTGTCAAATCTTTACTCGCTTCCACACCGTATCCTTTCGGCTGCTTTCTCCACCCCACTCGAACTGCCTGTCCTGTCTGCTCTCACTTACAAGAGATGGGGGCATGACTCTTGGCAGCTTTACGCGACATGACAACGCCTGAACAATCGGATTCTCTGCGTGAGAGTCTGAGTCGAGTCATTATGGACCACCTGGCGGAACTTGACTGGGGCGCCATGGGCTTGCTGTCGAATCCTGTACTGAGAGTTGAGGCGTTTCTCCAGGACGGTGATGCTCTCCCAGCCACCAACCCTGGTCCGTCGAACATGAACCCCGTCGTTTCTGTGAGTCCATGGCTCCGAACTTCCGCGATGGCGGTAACACCACGCCGCCTGGACAAACCAGCCGAGCTGATGTTTCCTTCCTCTCAGAAAACGGTAGATCTGTCAGGGTACATGTCGCCGATGGTTCATACGCCCAGCTCACATGCAGCTACCATGATGTCGGAGCACGTTCCGTCGCCGACATCCTTTAGCCATCACCCGCCAGATCACACCGCTCACATGGATCAAATGATCATGCGACACAGGACGTCTCCTCCCATCCCCGTCCCTGGTTCTGTTCCACTCGACGACTACAGTGCGGCAGCCAACGATTTCCGAAGAAAGGGAACCGGCGGGCTACGCCTCGCGCGTCCAGCCGACGGACCTGCTGTGCGGCATGGTCCTGACAGCCAACGACAGATGCAGATAGCCAACAACTTTCCCAAGCGAGCCAAGGTACAATCTGATTCAGTCGTCTTTGTCCCGCAACAGTCTTCACTCGACAAGTTCGTCGTCAGCATATGGGATCAGATCCACGGCGGCATCAATCTGGAACCTCAGAGCCTCCTCGAGCAATGGCAACTGACAGCCAGCGCCGCGACGGCAACCATTAACAACGGTGGCAGACCGCCAGGACCGGGCCAGCCAGACCTCGGCCTGCTCTCGCCACCCCCTACAACTACAGACCCGTCCTTGGCGACGCTCGACACGGCCACCTTTAATCGCAGCAACCTGTTCTGCCGCAAGGTGACGCAGGCCAGCCGTGCGTGTCGCGCCATCGAGGTCATCGTCCAGGCCCGCTGGATCGAGCATTTTGATGCCCACGTCGAGGTTCTCGCCATCACAAGTCCGGCCCTCTCGCCGACGAAGCGCCGCAAGCGCGCTCTTCTCGAAGCCTGCGCCGATTTTGGATGGTCCGAGAAGGAGCTCCGCAACAAGATGGCCATCTGGCGCGGCTACAAGGAGATCAAAGACGCTGGAGGCTGGGCGGCTCTCGTGTTTGCCGGCATGGGCCTCTACCGCTTTTGCAAATACCGCGTCGGCTTCACGCCCGAGTCCATGGCCCGCTTGCGCGCTCTGCGACCGCGCATCGAAGTGGCCGCTGACACATTACACCCGACCTGGCGGCAGCTACTCATGATCGTGGGCGAGTCACCGCAGCGGAGGTTCTGCGGCCACCCGCACGACTGGGTGGTGCGCCAGGACGGTTCAGACCCAGTGCCGCTGAGGAGCACATATCTCGAGCACGACCCCTTTTTCAGCTTCGAGCACCTCGACGGCAGCGTCGTCGATGCCAATGCCTGGGGCCCCGAAGACGACCCGCGCTGGATACCGCCCGTGAGCGCCGCGGCGTCGCTAACGGGCCAGCACGTCTGCCACTCGTGCGGTCAGGAGCAGAGCGAAGAGCCCAAGGTCAACTCGTGTTACTGTTTTCCGAGCCTCTTTGGCTCAGGCAGACGGAGTCCGTGTCCTGTACAGGTTTTCAGGACAACCGATGGGCGGAACAACGGGCTGCTAGCGCTGTGCGCCTTTGAGAGGGGGGCAGCCATTGGCGAGTTCGTCGGCCTCGTGACAAAAGACCTTCAGAATCTCGATGTCATGGACAGTTCGACGGGCGTCAGAGGCTATCAGATATGGCAGGGACGGCAGGGCAACTACACGCGGTTTACGAACCACAGCTGCAAGGCCAACGCCCAGTTCCAGCACTTTGTCTGGATGAGCACGCAGAGGATTATACTCGTGAGCAAGGGGATCGAAGCTGGGCATGAGATTACGGTTGACTACTCGGGCAGCTACTGGAGAGGCCTCGACAAGGACTGCCTCTGTGGGGAGGCTTGCTGCCGATATAAAAACAGCAGCCATGTTTGATGAAGCAAGCGTACACGAGCATTCACGCAGGTAAATCATGTGTCCTTTCTTCTTTCCCTTTTCCCACTTTCTGGTCTCCCACATGTTCCCACGTGTTCTTCAACAGCGCATTTTATTCTCTTCTGGACAGGGGGTTTAGGCGAAGGCATTTTCATGTTTCATCTTTTAATGTAGCGCTTTATTTAGGAGGATACAGGGCCGGAGAGGAAAGAGGAGACCATGATAATGATAGCGAAACGGCCTGTCTTCTTGAGTGGTCCATGGGGCATGAAGTCTGCCCCATGTCACAGAGTGTATTCCTATTTCGAAATGAAAGGAAAAGGCGGTGTTCTCGATCCGCGTGGATGGTCATACATTCTGACAAACACAAACACACACATACGCATACATCCTTTCCCACACATACACGCACACATGCGTATGCAGGCTGCTATTAAAAGTAACATGTACCGCTTATCAGGAGTACAAGGCCAAGAATAAAGACTGAAATCCAGAATCCGCCACAGTTCGGGGGTGGAGCCCAACCAATTACACAAGGATCAAGGGGAATTCAAGCCTTCGCCCCCGCCCCCCTTCCCCCTCCTCCTCGAGGACCCTTCTCCCTTAACCGGAACTCCAGGCAGACGCGCTTCTTAATACGCCTTCTTTGTCTCATCATCGAGCGTGGCTTCGGGTACATGGGTTGCGGCCACGCCTTCCGGCCCGCTCAGCGACTTACCCATGACCGCATTGGGCTCGTCGTCCGAGCCGTCCTGCGCGACAGGCGGGCCGGTGAAGTTCTTCCTAGCGTAGGCGAGATACCACACGGCACTGATGAGAGCAAATCCAGCAAAGACGACACTCGCGTAGTTCATGGACGAGGCCGTGACGGGAATGGCGACAGGCATGGAGAAGATGACCACAGCAAAGACGATCCACAGCACGGATATGCCGTTGATTAGGTAGCCGAAGCGGCCGAGCGGGTAGGGCGAGCGGGCGACGACCTTGCGGCCGCGGATCATGTTGACGAGCACGGGGACACAGTACGACGTCGACAGACAAATGGTGGCGACGCCGGTGAACGAGTTGAAGGCGGCTGAGGAGCCGAAGAAGATGAGGCCCAGGACGCAATCGACGACGGTGGAGAGGGCCAGGGCCCACAGCGGCACGTCGAGCTTCTTGTTGACCTTCATCCAGAGGCGGTAGCCGGGGATAGCGCCATCGCGTGCAAAGGCGTAGGTGCAGCGTGAGGCGGCAGTTAGGGCGCCCACGCCTGCGAAGAAGAGGATGCCCAGGATGAGGAACAGGAGGCAGAAACCACCCGCCTTGGAGCCTGTAACAGTGGTGAAGAGGAGACCAATGGGCTGGCCGTTGGCGACGCCAAGAAGCATCTCAATGTCGGGCAGCACAAATAGCAGCGGCACAAGGTAGAAGATACCTGTGATACCCGCTGCAACGACGGATAAGACAATGGCTTTCGGCACCTGGCTCTCAGGGTGCTGGACCTCTTCACACATGGCAGCGACCATGCCATAGCCTGTAAGGGTGTATGCAGCTAAGGAAAGATGTGTCAGTACGGACAGAGTCAGATCCGGACAATGACCAGGGGTAGAGAGAGAGAGAGGGAAAGGGGGATCGGTTGGAAGTTACAGCGGGCCAAGCGGCTAAGTGGCCAAGCGGTCAAGGGAGTCTGCACAAATATCCAAGGCGACCCGGAACGAAGAAGAAGGGAGCACCAGACAAAAACACAACAGGGAAGAGAGGGTGGCCACATACGCTGGAGCAAGCCTACGAAAAAGGACCATCCAGAGGGCCAGCCGCTGGCAGATGGATCGTAGTGAGTGAAGACAAACTCGGCGGATCTGCGCTGATCTGCCGTCGCTAAGAGGGTGACCAGGATGATGACCACGCTGGCGCCAGTCCAGTAAATGCAGACCTTGTTGATCAGGTCCAGATGCCTAGAGCCGAATGCATTGACCAGGGCGCAGACGAGCATGACCGCCCAGAAGGCGAGGACGGTTTGCCACTCGTTGGGCACGAAATCCTCATCAAAGATAGAGATGGCGCTGAGCACAAGCTGGGCGCCGGAGAAGTTGATCGACAGCGTGACGGTCCAATTGCCCACGAGAGTCAACCATCCGTCAATGAAGCTGACGATCGGCGCCCACTCCGGGGTGCTCAGCATGGCCGACCAGTAGTAGACGCCGCCAGCGGTCGGGTAAACGGCGCAAATCTCGGCCAGGGACGCAGCAATGCAGCATGAGATGAGTGAGACGAGGACCCAACCCCAGAGCACGCTGACGGACTGGCCGGTGGTGAGGGTGATGTACATGGTCGTTGACAGGCCAAAGGGCACCGCCATGATGGCGAAGGACATGCCCAGGATGCTCATCATGCTGAGGTTGCGCGGCAGCTCGCTGGTGTACCCCAGGCGCTGGAGAGCCTTTTCGGCGCTGGGGGCATTGCGATTGGGCTCCATGATGTTGCGATATGGCGGGGGCCCTCAACTCGGGGTTCTAGAATGACCTGATTGAGTGGGATTGCGCTGCGCGCCGTGAAGGATTCTGTGGTTGGGCCGGGGGATTGAGAATGCGCGATATGACTGCCGGCATGAACTCTGAGCTACTTGGGGAGGCCGTCGTAGCTTAAGCCTCGCGCAGGGCCAAGACGGGAGACAAGGTCAGCGGTGCGCGGTGCGTCCGCCGGATGAAAGGTTCCTTGCGTCGGAAAAAGCGTGTGAGTTGCGTTTTTGAGTGTGTGTGTGTGTGTGTATGTGTGACAAAACGCGGCAGAAGCAACAGAAATGGTTTGCAATGGCACGCGCTTGAGATTTGACACAAATTAGCAGAATACAGCCACGAGGTTTCGTCCAGTCTAGAAGAACCATGGGGGAAGAATCCACCACGCGGGGGGAGACACGTCTCACGAGACCCCTTCTCCACGGCCCAGACCTGTTACTACCGATAACAGTAACGCCCAGTACGTCATGTATCGCGAGAGGAAGAAGCGAGGAGAGCGCAAGTACACCAGTAGAGCCAGGGGAAGCGATTCAGCTCCCTCCCTTGTTGGTATCGCGGTCAACTCCCCAACCAATGGCTGCTGTCATGATGGGCGAGGACGGGGTACTACAGCGGAGCGGAACCAATTGCAGAGCACTATCTAGCGACGATTGGGATTAGAGCTGGACGGGGTCGCCGAGTTGCCGAATGTCGGCCGACTATCGTGCTTATCGTCTATCTACCTTGCACGTTGAGATCCTGGGGAACCTCGGGGGGAAATTGGAGTCGCACCATTTCCTGATAAGGAGAGATGTGTTGCCTGAAACGCCGAGATAGGATAGCCATTCTCAGCGGCCTGGCTATGGGACCATTGGCTATGGGACTATTGATACAAAGCGAGAGCCAAGTCATGATTTGATGAGCTGTCTCTGACGGCGATAAGGGGGTTCGGTCACTGACTCGGGGACGTGCCATCGGGCATCAACACGCGTAGGCGAGGGACCAAGATGCATCAATTCCAGAAGCACGGGGTTTCACTCAACAGCAATAACATTCATAAGTAAGGTAGGATAGCCGAGACAGGCGAGATGAAACACATGGATATGAGGGTTCCTTTTCTGGAAGGTCTGAACGCCGTCGATTAGGCTCTCCACTAATATCTGAGGGTGAGCCTCAAAAATGTTGGCGGGCCCTTCACATGCGATGCATACCATGTGCCAAGGCTGCTGTGCCCCTAGTTTTACGGCTAAGATGAGGCTACATCAGGTACCTTAGGTAACCAACTAACCAGGTATTCCAGGCCTGTGCTCATATTTGTTCAACAGTCGCTCAGCCTTGATGCATACCCAGCTTAGAGTAGGAGTTGGCAGTTTGATAAGAGAGCCTAACTGGCAATAATCGTCCTTGGCGATGGGCTTTCAAGACCGTACTGATGGTCCCAAAGCTAACCCCGTGCCACCTCCAAGGCATCAAAGTGCCGCCTGAGGCCATGCCAAGTGCGGCTTCACAGCCCTGCCGCGCCACCGCCCGCAGCTTGACACCTGACCTGATGAGAAGGCCAAGCAAAAGCATGGCATGCAGGGGGAGGGAACCGTTTCCTGTTATTTCTGCGTCTTACTTAATGGCGTCACATCCAAAACCCCGCATTTCGAACGGGATCACCCCGCGATATGTCCACGCTCAAACAAACACCACGATCGCCTTGAGCCTCCACGAACACCCCCCACCAACATGGATCAGCACGACAACCACAGCGAGGCGCCTCCGCCGTATCCGGGACACCCGTCCGAGCTGCACAGCCATCGCGACGCGCACGACACAAATCCAGCAGACCCCGCGCCGGCTTACGAACCGTTGGTGGACAGGGCTAGCGACGGGCCGCTGGCTGAGGACACCAATGACCGCCACGGCGTTCAGCCAGGCGCGCGGGCCGTCCCAACGTCTCAGCCATCGCCTTCGCGTGCGAGAGCATCATCCTCCACATCGCCGCGGCCTTTCCCCTCACCGTTCACAGCAGAGGCCTCCTCCTCACGCAACCCCTTTACCTACCTCAGGGACAAGAAGCGCGAGCGCGAAGCGACCAAGAAGGTCGATTTTTACGAGAAGCATTACGGGTTCGTGCCCAAGAACGTGCTGACGGAAGCGGAGTGGAAACGGATCAGGAAGGAGGCGGTCAAGGTCAAGGTACCCGTGAAGATGCGATCAAAGGGCTACCATTACTGGTGAACCGTCTGATCAGGGAGGGAGAGGGAAGAGGGGCGTAGGGGCTGCAGAAGACCGATCTGCAAACCGGAAATTGCCGCCACAAATTTGGTCCGACGCACATTCAGTACAAGCAAGCCATGATGAGACCCACGCGTACATGACGATACCTAGATACCACACATAGCGAATCGATTCCGATGATGCTTTCCATTTTGAAATAAAGTCTTCTTGCAGCCTGCTGCCTGCTGCCCAATATTGGTTGGGTATCCCTGAAGTGAAGACTGATTTCCGTAATCCGGGATCACTGGCTCTGAACCTGACCACCAATCAACGACTCGTTACGCCACGACACACCCTTGCGCGCAGAGGCAAGGGAAGGTGGTTTATATTGTCGCCGATCGCAAACCCATGTGCGTAGCCTGGTCTGCGGAAAGTCTCACACTTCGCATCACGTCGAGGTGATAGTCCGTGATCCGCGCCACCGCCTCGGCAAAGGCATTGCAGTTTGCATGTTTGGCGCGAACACGTACCGAGGCCCCGTACTGAAGTCTGTGGACAAGGTCCCGCACGGTACCCTTGTATGCGGCTGGCCTGTCAAGAAAGTTGAGGTCGGGGTTTTGAAGAAGGAACTGACCGAAAGCGCCGAGAATGACTCTGGCGCAGTTTTCTTGTCTCTCCGTGTTGCAGCCTTGCACTGTGCAGCTCAAGCTGTGGCAAAGCTTGCTCTGCATCTCCAAAAGGAGTTTGAAGACCATTGCAACAATATCGGCTCGCACCCGTATGATCCTGTCTACGTGGCATAGTTTAGCTGATGTCGTCAGAGGACAGAGTTGCACGGTTCCTTCCCTGGACTTACCGATCATGCCCATCATCCGTCCATTGTATATGTGATTCGTGAGAACTAAATCAGAAGGACCGACGACTTCTCCGTAATCGCCAAGACCAGAGTCATTGATGAGGGTCCTTGCTGCGCAGAGAAAAAGCTGCTTATCACCGAGCTCCCAGGAGATGAGGATCACACGATCGCTGTCTGGGACGATGCTCATGACTGTCAATGATTCTCCAGAGCCATGGTCAGAACGTTCTGCAGCGTATAGACTGACGCTTTCGTGCTCCCTGTGCAGAATGTCCGGTCAGCTGAGTGACGTTTCTACACGGAATGATCACTTACAGCTTCAAGGCCTGTGGTTGTGTATGTGCCGAACGAGCAGATGGAAACATGTCCTCAGAAACGCCATCGAAGGTTTCATTCTCATGAGAAGAGCCACCTACCTCCGCACCTGCCTCCAACTCGCGGCGCGAGCGTTTGCGCTTCCTTGGAGAAACTGCCGCTTGCCGCTCGCGAGGCTCATCCTGTGGCGGATGGATCGTATCACGGATGCTATCCAGCCAGGCGGGTGCAAACATGGCAACCACGGGGCCCATCTCAAAAGAGCTTAAAGTGCTCGCAATCTGGTAGAGAAGATTCGGAGAGGCCGTCCCGGGGACATGTTCGTATTCGAAGTGGCAAGCGTGCAAAAGCACCTTCATGGCGGCGGGATCGATCGCAGGGAGCACAAGGCAGGGCTTGCCAGCCGTGGCGGGACCTGGCAGGATCTTGTCCCACTCTGCCGAAGTCGAAGCAAGCACGCCGGCGTTGAACTCGAAAGAACGTGTGGCGTCGCCTTCACCGACGATGATGCAGACATCGGCTCTTTCCTTGATACCAATGATGACGGCCTCGGGACGGGCGTTGGATGGCCTCGAGGGAGGGCTGTCTTCGAATTTAACTTCAGGTTCTTCAGGGCCTTCGTCGTCTGTAAATATCTGTGATCCCTTGCTCGAGCTCTTGGGGGACGCTTTTGTAGAGGTGTCGTGCGGCGGTCACATGGCTGGTCCAGACTTGGGACTTTGAGAGCGAGATATGCTGTATTGTCTGCGTGTACACGTTAGAGAGTAGAGGCTCTTCTGTGTCGAGCCGGTGTTACGTCAAGGACCGCAACAAGTTGCGACACATCGTAAGCGCAAAATTGGTGATGCAGAAGAGAAAGGTCGTGCCACCTAATCCGTCTGTGTGTTGTGCGTTGATATGTTGATGGTTGCATGAAGCCTTTGCTGATTTTCGGTATCGGTGGAAGGAAAGTGCATGCCATAGTTTCAAGAGATTGGTTGCTGGTAAGAATACGACAGTGAATGTGAATAGCTGTCGTGGAAGGTATTCGTCCTCTATTCATTTGTACGTTACCCTGTCCACATACTCTGCTTATCTTTGTGCTAATAGCCCCAACAATAAAACAAAACTTTGTTATAGGTGGCATCATCTCTAGTACAGTATCATCTCTATCAGTATGAATTTCTACTTCACAAAGCGAGAAGGGAAGGAGAGTGTTTTGGATGTTCAGTGACGTGCCCCCGCTTCAGTCTGTGTAACGTTCATAACCATTCACAACAGGCCTTGGCCATTTGGCCATGACGGCGGCACAAAAGCCGCCCAGTTCAAAGCTGAAGCCTTGATATCCCGGAAACGCCATTGATCCTTTCTCGAACATGATAGTAAATCATACGACTCCAAAGCCAGGATTGTCCTCGCCAGTCATGCTTAAATGCCAGATTGCGTCTTCGAGATGATGATGATAAATTCAACGCTACTCATCATCCTATGTATGCAAAAAAGACGCCCTTGCTTGTCTTTTGACCGTTCCAATAGCCATGCTCAAGTTGTCCGCCAGCTTATAGGATTCATCCCGAGCCATTTGATTCAGGGGGGAGCATGTTGGTCTGCTTGATGGAGTTTCGGTTCTTTCAGTTCCTGTGGCGTCGGCGCCTCTGATTCTGGTGTATTAGCTATCTGCATGTCAGCGGAGGAGAGGTCTGAGTGTTGCTAGTTGTGTGAACATGTGCTGCCTATGCTCGGGTTCTGGGTTTTGGCTTCGGTACGATTGTCGTGTCGCGAGCGCCTCGCCTTAGCAATACGAACGGATTTACCCGTTAGTACCCCTGTCCGCCTAGGTTTTGGTGATAAGGGGGAAGAGCTCCTGATCGTGGTTGCAAGAGCCGTGGCCCTCTCGCTATCCCCCAACTTCTGGGCGATTGCGTCTTGGAGAGCGAAGTACGAAGCATATCAGTTAAAAGCCAATTCAACTCGTCGCAAGACATGACCGCGTCATAGTGCACAGAGGCCCGGCAAATTCATGTGATATTACTACATCTGACTCCAACCCCTCCAGAGACGTCCGAGTAAAACAAGTCACCCCGAACTCCAGGTACCAGGCAACATGTCCATCTACGTACACTTGGTGATATACATGACGGCAGGAGCAGGCGGCGGGTGCGCGTCCTCGCCAGTAGCCGGTGCAGGCGTGATAGCAGCGGCAACGCCGGCCGCCGGCGTAGGCGTAGTCTTGGCGGGGAGCGCGGCCGCCTTGCCGAGGAGGATGCCGTTGAAGGCATCAGCAGCAGCCTGGTTCTGGGTGGCAGCGACGGCGGCGGCGCTGGCCTGGGCGCACGTGCCCTGGATGGCGGCGGGCGCCTTGCACGAGTCGCTGAGGCGCTGGCAGATGAAGCCGGCGATAATGCCGACCTTTTGAGCGGAGCCGTGGCCAAAGTCCTTGAGGTTGTTGGGGATGAAGGCCGACTCCTTGCGACCGTCGAGACCGGCGGCGAACTTGATGCTAGGGTCCGTGCAGGTGCCGAAGTTGCCGGCGGCAGGTGTGGCCTGGCGGCGCTCGCGGAGGAAGCGCTCGCGGAAGGACATGCGCTTGCCGAGGGAGCTGGCAGCGTGGCACTGGGTGTTCTGAGTGTCGCACTGGCCGACACCGCCGGTCAGCTTGCCCGTGTTGGCGGCGTTGGCGCAGGCGTTGTGCTGAATGTCACACGAGCGGCCAAGGGCGGCACCGGCACCGGTAAAGGTGTTGCCGTTGACGGAGAAGGGGCGGTCACCGGTACCCTTGATGACGGGAGGGGCGACGCCGCCGAGGGTGCCAGTGAAGGTTTGAATGTTGTTGCCGGCCGGGGTAGTCGGGACGTCAGTGGCGGGGGACGGTCCTGGTGATGACGGTGCAGCTCCGGGTGGAAGTCGTAGTGGGCTTCACAGCCTCGCACCCATCGTCGTCCGGTGCGTAAGCGGCTGGCTTCGCAACGGCGTTGCCAGCGCCGGGAGCAGAGGAGGCGAGAGGTGTGACGTTAGGCTTCGCAGCAGCCGGGCCGGCAGGAGCAGGGGGGGCGCCGGCCGCAGCGGCGACGGGAAGACCAGCAAAGTCAATGTGGGTGGCCTTGAGCTGGCCGGTGCCCGTGAAGGCCGGGACGACACCTTGAACGGCGGCCTTGATCTCGTCAGGGGTAGCATCGAGGAGAAGGAGGCGCTGGGTGAAAATGCAGCCGACGGGGTCATTGGCGCTGTCGCAGGACTTGCCGGCGGCGGTCCTGTCATTGAGGTCTCCGGCGACAAAGGTGCCACTCTCAAGCGCGAGGAGCGGATCGCCACCGATGAGGGCCAGCTGCTTGGCCAGAGCCAGGGCAATGGCCTTGTTGCCTGCGAGAGCGCCAGGACCGGCGGCATCCTGGTGCTGGGCGAACGCGCCGATTTCAGGGTTGACGGGCTTGTCAGTGCAAGCGGCACTGACGCCGCCAACAGAGCCGGTGTTGCGCTCGAGGGCCTGGTAGACGAGGGCAGCGGACATGCCGCGAATGTCTCCCACCTTTTTGGCGTTGGTGAAGGCCTGGTCAGCAGTCTCCTGCTTGAGGCATGCCAGGTTGGTGACCTTGCCGGCGCCCTTGGAAGCGGCAGCGTCACCGAGGAGGCCGAAGACAGGATCGACAATGCCCTTGGGGTTGTTGAGGTTGAGAAACTCGCGGGTGATCGTCAGGAAGATCTCGTGAGAGTGCTCCTGGGGGACCTGGCGCTTGACGATGTTGCTTCGGGGGCTGTGCGCAAGCGGCTGCGCAGGGCTCGCAGAAGCCATGCCAAGGAGGCCGAGGGTGACGAGTTCAAACTTCATTTTTGTTGATGGTGAATCGGCGACAAAGCAAAAGTCAGGGGTACGTTGTCTCTATGAGATGGTAATGAGTGGTAAGTAGATGAAGTGTAGGACCGTCCGAATGCAGTCAAGGAAGGTAAAATAATCAAGAATAGGTGCACTGAGGCACAGAATGGAAGATTTCACAGAACCCGTGAGAGAAAGACGGGGAAAGAGAAAAGAGAGTAGTATCTCAGAGAATGTTGGATGATGATGCGATGTGTGACCAGAGTGAAGACCAGACGAATAGGACCGGGAGATCAGCATGATTATGTAGTGGAAAGACAAGGATGAAGTAGATCGGATCACTTGGCAAATTGCTTGATTCCTCAAGACCCATACCCTTTGTCCCCCCTTTGCCCCTCGCGTGTCGGTTTGCTTCGATATCTTGGTATCAGTGCTGCGCCAGGCGTTCATCGTGGTTGTCCCTGGGGCTCCTCTTCGGATGCTACGCAGCCGTGGGCATGTTGTAGGTGTGCCTGGGCGCTTGTACTCGGCTCTCGGCAGTGACTGCTGGAAAGTGACCAAATGGAAGTATAGCAGGCCACCCAGCTATGCGGGATGACTTTTCACAAAGGCCCCCGGGAAGTATCGAATGTGGCATTTGACAGGTAGTGCACGTCAGGGACACCCTTTGTGGACCTTGAACCTTCGGGAGGGTGACATGAAAGTGAAAATCTGGGTTAGGCGAGGATTCGAGACTGGGCAGCGTGCCGAAAGGAGATTGCGGGCTGCTCGAGTCAGCGACCCTCAGGCTGCGCATCAGTGCTGTGCAACAGGCATTTTCTTTGCTCTGCGGCGACTTGAGATGGTAGGTGAGAAGGATTGAGCGCGATCGAGGGGCCACGCGGCTGGGTCGTCGTTGATGGGCGAGGTGGTGTTGAGTGGAAGTTGAGGCGAAGATCAGACAAGGCGAGCGTCATGAGGGTTTGGGCCAGGGTCGCTCAGGCTGAGCCCCACCCATCTGATGCCAAGAGCGTCTCCGCCAGTCACACGCTCGTATTCCCCAGGGATAGCCCTGGCTCTGTCCACGTGATATCGACCTGTGCCTGGCCGACTCTGAAACTCCATTACCACCCTCACACTCTTTGTCTTTCCAGGTCTTTGTGCGACCAAGTCACCAACCACCAGCGACTGTCCACCGCCGCCCGTCTTTCACTGCCATCCCTTGTCGTCTCAACTCTCCATGTGGCGTTTTGAAGATCAATCTGAGAGATCAACACCATCACCCGTCCATACTTCATGCTCGACGGCTACACAGCATGTTTCCCCCCAGTCATTCTTTCATTAGTCACCATTGATCAGCACACTGCAATTGCGCCCCTGCGTCGACACGGCCACGTCCAACGCCGGGTTCCCTTGGAAAAAGTTGACCGGCTTCAGCCCGACAATCATCTTCTCGCACGGCATGACGGGCCAGTCCTCAATCCGTGGATTGTGCGTCGACCCGAATGTGTGCCACATCACAATATCTTCGTTTCGAACCGACGACCTGGCCTCGTCATGACGCCTCGCCGCAATCCACGATGCGATCCCTTCGCCGCCGAGCGACTGCATCGTGTGCCTGCCTGCCGGAAACAGCTCCTCGTCGTCATGCCGAGTGACCCACACCGCGTGCGCCGCGTACTCGGACCGTCGCGCGTGGTACGACGTGGGGTGTGCCAGGAGCAGTTGGCTGTAGCATGGCAGCAGCTTGAAGCCGATGGGCGTGCCCGTGATGGTGTTTTTCTTCGCCTCGTTGACGATCTTGAAGACGCGGTTCGTGTGAAAATCGAGATCGAGACCTGTCTCCTTTTCGATGACCTGTGACGTTGTCGTGTACCCGACGCCAAAGGGGTTATAGTCCTCGCCGGACGCGTCCTCCTCCTCCTCGAAGGCCATGGCGTGCGATTCCTCGACGACTAGCGAGTTTGCGTGTCCGCCGATCGCTGGGTCGATTCGCAGGCAGAAGAGGTGCTGATGGTACGGTGCAAGTGTGCCCGGCGCCACGATGGTCCCGTACGGCACCGTGTCGCCGATGTTGATCGGCGCCGTCGACATGATGCCTGTTGCGCGCACCTCGTAGAACAGCGACGCGTCCTGCTGAAAGTAGAACAGGAACAGGTACTCGTAGTTGCTCACGGTAATGATGGTCTGCAGCACAAGCACCCTCGACCGCGTCACGACGGCGTTGCCCGTGCGAAAATTGGTGTGCTTCCACAGAATGCCGTCGTCAATCTCGTGGCAGCAGACAACGTTGGGCATCCGCAGCGGCTCGCCCGCCGCCGTCGTCAGCCAGCCGTCAAAGTACCGGATATGCCCGAGACAGTCGCAGCCGAGGCCCAGGTTGTTGGCGTTGACGCCGGCGCCGTCGTTGCCGAGGTCAAAGGCTGCCTTGCGCGGGTACGGCGCCCGGGGGTCCGCGTACGGCACAAACATCTCGGCGAGCGAGAGACGGTAAAAGAGGCTGCGGCCGTCGTAGCGCACGTCGTGCAGCGTCATGCCCTCGCGGTAGTTGAAGCCGATGCGCATTGTCCACTTTTCCCACGTAATGAGGTTGCCCGCGGTGCTGAACGATGGGCCTTCTGGCTGCGAAATGTGGTACGGCTTGGTTGTTGTTCTGTGGCTCGTGAGTAGGTCGGGGTGGTACTCGCTCTTTTCGGCGTCGACGATTTTCCGCTCGTCGAATTCCGCCTGACGCGTGTGCATCTTGTCCCCGGCTGCCGATGGCAAGCGGTAGACGCTCCTGACCTTGAGGTCGGGCGACACCTCGGCGCAAATGTCGAGTGGGTAGGCGTAGTAGTTGGCCTCTGGGTGGTCCGATAGACGCATGTAGAACCAACCCTGTCGTCTGCCTTTAGCATATGTTATTCTACGAATGAAGCGAGAGAATTGATCTCACCATGGTCCACCGTTCCTTCATGTCCCTGACGCCGTCGGTGGCGTACGCCCACGGCTCTACTACCACCGTCGCGCCCTTGGGCAGCTTCAGCGATTCAATCTCCCGCTGGACCTGCTCGTCTGCGAGACAGGCGTCGCCAACCTGCTTCATAAAGTCCGTGTCGATGTAGGAGTGCCGTCCCATGAAGCTCCTTAGTCGAGGCCACAGCCTGTTGGTCGAAGGTCGACAAATGATCTCGTGGAGGGAGCTTCTCGATGAAGACCTGCACTCTGCCCTGTCTGGGTGGCCGCGCGCCGGACCCGGGGCTGCATTGTTCGTCGTCAAGGAAGACGGACCATGCCTTCTTCGGGGGTTCGGCGAGCGAGATGCC